TTCCAATTATAACTTCCCATACCTTTACCAGGTACACTCAACAGGACTTATCCCCTATAATTTTTGCACTCTCTTTTATCCCCTTTGCCTTTATACAAAGGAACTATGCATGCTCTCTGCAATCCCTAGGTACCTTACCCTCTTCCATACATTTATTAAATAATTGCACCAACCACTCCAAAACTATATCCCCACTGCTTTTAACATTTCTATCTTTATCCCATCAATCCCGGCTGCCTTACCCCCTTTCATTTTACTACTGCCTCACGAACTTCCCCCACACTCACAACTGGCTCTTCCTCACTCCTACAAGATGTTATTCCTCCTTGCCCTATACACGAAATCACAGCTTCCCTATCTTCATCAACATTTAAAAATTCCTCAAAATATTCCTTCCATCTTCCCAATACCTCTACCTCTCCATTTAATAACTCTCCTCTCCTATTTTTAACTGACAAATCCATTTGTTCTCTAGGCTTTCTTAACTTGTTAATCTCACTCCAAAACTTTTTCTTATTTTCAACAAAATTTGTTGATAACATCTCACCCACTCTCTCATTTGCTCTCTTTTTACATTGCTTCACCACTCTCTTAACTTCTCTCTTTTTCTCCATATACTCTTCCCCTTGCATCACTTCTACTTTGTAAAAACTTCTCATATGCTAACTTTTTCTCCCTTACTACTCTCTTTACATCATCATTCCACCAATCGCTCCTCTTCCCTCCTGCACCCACTTTCCTGTAACCACAAACTTCTGCTGAACACACTAACACTACATTTTAAACCTACCCCATACCTCTTCGACCCCATTGCCTATGCTCTACATTAGCCCATCTATCCTCCAATAGCTGTTTATATCTTACCCTAACTGACCTCTTTTAGTTTATAAACCTTCACCTCTCTCCTTCCCTGATGCTTCTATTCTCCTTGTATCCCATCTACCTTTTACTCTCAGTGTAGCTACAACTAGAAAGTGATCTGATATATCTGTGGCCCCTCTATAAACATGTACATCCTGAAGTCTACTCAACAGTCTTTTATCTACCAATACATAATCCAACAAACTACTGTCATTTCGCCCTACATCATATCGTGTATACTTATTATCCTCTTTTCTTAAAATATGTATTACTATAACTAAACCCCTTTCTATACAAAGTTCAATCAAAGGGCTCCCATTATCATGGATTAAGGAATATTTTATAATGGGTTCATTATAAAATATTCTGTGGATTAAAGAATATTTTAAAATGGGTATATTACAAAATATTCTTTAATCCACAGGCCACTGAAAATGATATAAGAGAATGAGAAACAGCATATGTAACGAAGAAACTCTTTTAAAATAAGACTGACAAATAGAAATTGTAAATTTCTCTTAATGATTATTAAGAGACCACAAAATATACTCAATTATAACTGAATTTGCGCATAAATAGCCGCCCTAACTCCCCCACCCCCCAAAAAATCCTTTCATGTAGTATATATTGTGTATGAAAATTAAAGAAGCATGGAGCACTAGAGAAGGCCTACTAGCCTATGCTAGGCGGCAAACTTAACCCATCTCACTCAAATATCTCACCAACATTGTTTTGAACTTACCAAAGGTGTTAACTTCCAAACCAGAAAGAGGTTAAAATAAAATAATAAACAGCAATCTATAATAGAGTTTATATTGTAATGGAGTCACTATATGTAAGTCAGGGGAAAAAGACGGCTTAATACCAGCAAAATAAGGTTGTCTCTGGAGTTTACCTGGATTTTACCTGGAGAGAGTTTCCGGGGGTCAACGCCCCGTGGCCCGGTCTGTGCCCAAGCCTCCTGGTGATCAGAGCCTGATCAACCAGGCTGTTACTGCTGGCTGCACGAAAAACCTAGTACGAGCCACAGCCGGCTGATCAGGAACCGACTTTAGGTGCTTGTCCAGTGCCAGCTTGAAGACTGCCAGGGGTTGTTGGTAAACCCCTTATGTATGCTGGGAGGCAGTTGAACAGTCTCGGGCCCTTGACACTTATTGTATGGTCTCTTAACGTGCTAGTGACACCCTGCTTTTCATTGGGGGGATGTTGCATCGTCTGCCAAGTCTTTTGCTTTCGTAGTGTGAGTGATTTTCGTGTGCAAGTTCGGTACTAGTCCCTCTAGGATTTTCCGGTGTATATAATCATGTATCTCTCCCGCCTGCGTTCCAGGGAATACAGGTTCAGGGAACCTCAAGCGCTCCCAGTAATTGAGGTGTTTTATCTCCCTTATGCGCACCGTGAAGGTTCTCTGTACTTTTCTAGGTCAGCAATTTCACCTGCCTTGAAAGGTGCTGTTTGTGTGCAGCAATATTTCCCGCCTGATAGAACAAGTGACCCGAAGAGTGTCATCAAAATGGGTATATTACAAAATATTCTTTAATCCACAGGCCACTGAAAATGATATAAAGAGAATGAGAAAAAAGCATATGTAAAGAAAGAACTCTTTTTAAAATTATGACTGACAAAATAGAAATTGTAAATTTCTCTTAATGATTTTTAAGAGACCACAAAATATACTGAATTTGGCATACATCGTGTAAAAAATATGCAAAACCTTTGCTGAGGTTTAAACAGCAATCTGACAACATGACTTCATCATAATTATCTGACAACACTTACTTTCACCTTACCCATTTTTTTAGTATATATTGTTATTTCGATTTGCCATTTATTGACATGATATGGTTCCCTTTATTGGCAAAATGTTGTCTAGAAATTATAGGCTTTTTTAGCAGTTCCTATCACGACGGATTACGTTTAGGGAAATTTCAGTAGTTCAGCAATATTACCCAAGGCCTGGTCACAGACCGGGCCGCGGGGGCGTTGACCCCGGAACTCTCTCCAGGTAAACTCCGGTAAGTATAAGCCCCCATGATTTTTGCATCATAAAATTGTTCTTTGCAACATCAACATTTATTCGAGTGTCTGCAACAGAGTGCCTAACATTTTTTATTGTTATTATTCCGAGGTATTAAATGTTACTCATAACTTTAAGCTTTTCCTTGTTAACAAACATACACAGTTAACATACTATTGTAAATACACAGTTAAATTACTATTGTAACATATACAATTATCATTACTATTGTAACATCAGACAGTTAAACAAACTATGTAACATACACAGTTAACATTACTAATGTAAACATGACAGTTAAACTACCTAATGTTAACATACACAGTTAACATATAATTTAACATCACAGTTAACATAATAATGTATAACATAACACAGTGAACATATATGTAACATACCAGTTAACATACTATGTAAAACATACACAGTTAACTTACTAATGTAACATACACAGTAACATACTAATGTACAACATACACAAGGTAACATTACTATTGTACATTACACAGTAACATACTAATGTAAACATACACAGTTAACATACTAATGTAACATACACAGTTAAACAACTAATGTAACAATACACAGTTTAACATACTAATTGTAACATACACAGTTTACATATATGTAACATATTACAATTTTCATACTATTGTAACATTACACAGTTAAATAATATGTAAACATACACCAGTTATCATAACTATTGTACATACACAGTTAACATACTATTGTAACATACACAGTTAACATACTAATGTTAACATACACAGTTAACTATAATGTAACATACACAGTTAACAATAATGTAACATACAACAGTTAAACATACTAATGTAAACATAATCAAGTAACATACTAATGTAAACATACAAGTTAACATACAAATGTAACATTTCACAGTTAACATACTATTGTAAAATACACAGTTAACATACTATGGAAACATACAAGTTAACATACTAATGTAAAATACACAGTTAACATACTAATGTTACATACACAGTTAACATACTTTTGTAACTGTTGTGATAGTAAACAACAGGCCTTATCTCTAGGCTTTTATTGAACATAGAATCTTCATAGTGCTCTGCAACAACAAAATATAATGACTAGTACATCTAAATAACGGCCTTCTACAGGGATGGTGTGATGTCTTGCATTGTCAAGAGAAAAGTTATAACTAACAGGCACATAAGTTAAACTCTCCATGTAAATCTGCATCACTGATAAAATGAGGATATAGTAGGAAGGAGGAATCACACACCCATGTGGTTGGGGCCCATGACACACACCAAACTGTTGTTGTTGTTAAGGGCACGGAGAGGTGGTGCAGTTTATCCTGCTGCTGCCATCCCCACGACCAGTATCACTCATATTCTCCCCCTTCTAAATTATCAGTGACAGTATCTCCCCAAACTGTTAGGTGGCGACGTACAGTTCCGACCCTTCGTAGCCTTGAGCATCTTCACCAGGTTCGATATTTTCCAGCGGGGTTGATTAACTGCTGGAGCAGAATCCTCTCTATTTCCATAGGGGTAGTCTCAAGGGCTTTCAGGAAGAAAAACGAAGCCATCTTTCACATCTATTGGTGTATCATTTGAGATTCCACACTAATTGGATTTCAACTGGGGCTAATTGTTCTTGTAGATAATGTTGTCTCTTCACCATTTTGGTAGCGAAAAAAATGTGGGATAATGTGGATTAGCTTGCAGGGAGCCTCTACCTCTTCCAATAAAGGATCCGTCTTGTTTCATCCTACGGGGAACTCTTCAGGAGAAGGGTACAGGATGACATAAACCATGTGGGCACGGAGGCTCCGTAGTAGAGGAACGCGTGAATAGTTGAGGAGTCTTTCATGAGGGGTTGAATTAGTAGCTGTGCCACAGCAAGTTGATCTAATAGAGTGAAAGCATCAGGGAGGACAGTTGCCAGTGGTTGAATAGGTAGATGCACGATTCAATGTCATTGTAACTGCCTTCCATTAGTTCCATTGTAACCGCTCCACTTGACCATTGCCTTGAGTGGGGTTGTAGCTTGTTGTTCTGCTGCAGGCAATACTTTGCTAGCCCAAAAACTCCTGAAGTTCGTTTACTCATGATAGAGGAATCCCCTGTCTGAATGGATATAAGCATGGCAGACCAAAATAGAGAACTATGTGAAAGAAAACTAAAACAGTTGAAAGCAGCATTATTTGGCACAGGGGAAATACAAAGGGAACCTTGAATATTCATATACTATGTTAGGAAATAACCTTTTTGATTTGTGCTGGTAGGAGGTCCTTTGAAATCATATTCAGTCTTTCGAAATGGCTGGGTGTGGATTTTATGAGGATGAGTCTTCTCTGGCTGATGAAAGTTTGGCTTGCAATCTGCACTTACTCTGCATGCTCTGATCACTTGTCGCAATCTTCCACTGAGTAGGGGATGTTCTTTGATTTGACAAAGTGGTACAGGCGTTGTAACTCCTGGGTGACACAAGCCTTGTGGAGAGTTGAGAGGTGATTGCAAATCATGGACATGCTGCTCAAGTGGGACCTAGAGAATGCCATCAGGTGAGTGTTCTGTCCTTGACCCGGTCGGGTACACGAATATCAAAGTCATAACACGATAGTTCCAATACTCTAGCGTTAATATCTTGTCATTCTTTATCCTACTTTTGTGCTTCTTGTCGAACATTACATCACGGACCGTTGGTCAGGCCTTATGGTGAAATGTTCTACCAGTTAAATAATGCCTCCAGTGGCGAAACTGCTTCTATGATGCTTGGGCTTCCTTTTCTACAGCAGCATAAATTCTCTGATCCTTTAAAAGTTCTCGAAAAATATAAGGCTACTGGTCGTCCTGCCTGAGATAAGCTGCAGAAATTGGCATGTCGATGCATCCGTTTCCATTCGATGGTAGGGACTCATCAATGGCTTGAATACTGAGTTTTCAATGTCCTGTTTGAGGAGTATGGAAAGCGGGTTCTGCTTCCTTTGTAACAGGAAATGTGGGAAGCACTCAATGGGCGGACTTACTTGTTTGTTGTAGATCCATTGTGAGTTAATAAGCAAAGAGACCAAGAGTTTCTGGAGTGACTTTTTGTCTTGAGGCATTTGGAAGTTTCCGTGGGTCAGTGTCTTTCAGGGTCTGGGAATATTGAACCTCCTTCCACTACATAACAAGGATGCTAAGCCTTTTAGTTGAAAAAGTGCACTTTTCCTCATTGTAACTGATTATTTTCATCTTGGCGGGCTTCCAAAAACTTATCAAGGTTTGCATCATGTTCCTCCTGGGTCTTGCACAAATGGTAAACCATTATTAAATACGCGTATGTTTCCCTTGTAGTTGCTCTTCCTGAATGAGTGAATCCATAATTCGTTGGAAGCAGGCTTACCCCATGGGTGACTCCAAAATGGGACTCTGGGTAACTGATACAGGCCATCACTAGCCGAAACGCTTGTTATGGTTTATCTTCATTCCTTATAGGGGACTTGATGATAGGAACTCTGTGATCAATTGTGCTCCTAAACAAATAGTACTGACCATTTTTGTTCACTGTATCGTCAATTCGAAGGTAGAGTGGTACCCATTCAAGAGTGGTAATTTTGTTGATTGTCTCAAAGTAATCGATAGCCAGTCTCCGTTTCCTATTAACCATCTTTAAACAACAACATCCTGTGCACGCAGGGGAATCACTGGTTCTATAATACCCTCCTTCAGCAGCCTCTGAGTTTCTTTCTCAATGATCATCGAATCCTCATAGAATAGCGGGTTGACTTAGATGATATAGGATGGCAATCCGCGGGTAAGATTTGCAAACAGCTTTGGTGGGTCTACCCTTAAGTGCTAAGTCCAGACACAAAGGAGGCAGTTCACCTCCATATGTTAAGGTGACCACTACCATGCAGCTTTGAAAGTTCCTGACCAAGGATAACATCAGAGCACTGTTGTGGCAGAAGAATAGAATCTAAATGTTCATCTTGATAATCCTTTCCATTAGATCTGAGTTTACCTTTCAAAACCCTAAGGTCGAATTGAGAGAGATGTTGTGCCATGGAAACGGTACCTGATGAGTGATGTAGAGTCAAGGAGAAGCCGTTTAACTAAGTCAAGGTTGAAGAGAAAACTCTTGAGATGCCTACTATCAATAAGACAATCTACTTCTGTTCCTTTGTTGAATACTTTCACAACTGCCTTTGACAGTGAATTTGGAGTAGCCGCAGAAGTCACTGTGGCTTTTGAGTCGCATGATCACTGGAATGTGTGAGGCACTAGCTCTTGTTGATGCCTTAGCACGACATACTTTAGCAAATTGACTTTCTTGTGGCATTTATGGCACATTTGCTTCACGTGCAGGACACTTTGGACGTGGATGTCTGAAATACCACAAAGAAAACAACCGTACCTGCTGCTGCTGTCACTGAGGCAGCTTCCACAGTAACTTCATTGCAAGGAGTCTTGGTAGGAATTGCAGCACTTACCACTCGAGAAGGATGAGGGGTATGTATACTTTCAGATTTCTTCTGGGCTGGGAATCATAGAGCTCTTGCCTGGTCAAAGGCAGCGGCTAAGTTAAGTCGAGAGTTTTTTCTCAATAAACGCTGCCTTATATTGGTTGATTGCAGGCCACTGAAAAAAAAGCATCCATGAATGGACTCTTAACAATACTGAGCAGCTGTCACTGTTGGAAGGAGTGACAGTCCTTACCTAATATTTTCAGTGCTTGGAAAGTTTCTCTAAGGATTTCATCAATCTGCTGGCGGCGAGTGCAAGGCGATAGCGTGCAAAGTTCTTTTTGTAGGTTTAATATACTGAGACTTGAGGGTTTTGATAGCATATTCGTAGGTATTACACTCAGAAATAGCCTCGTATATCTTGGTGACACAAAATGTTGAGAAGACTTAGTTTATCTAGATCTTCTTTAGGAAGGGCTCCCAAGAGTTTTTCGAAAGTCTTTAAAAACAGTGCTCCATTCCTGTGCAGCCGTTGATAAGCTGGGGTCACAGTCTACCTCTCAGGTTTCAGTAAACGCCATGTGTGATTGTCGTCTAGCGCAGATCTCCACCAGGTAGCCCAGGCTTCTATGTTTCAATAAATTGTGTGTAGAAACACAAGGCCTTATCTCTAGGCTTTATTTGAACATAGGAATCTTCATAGTACTTCTGCAACAACAAAATATAATGACTAGTTCATCTAATAACGGCTTCTTACAGGGATGGTGATGTCTTGCATATGTTAAGAGAAAAGTTAAACTACAGGCACATATTTAAACTCACCATGTAATCTGCATCACTGATAAATGGATATAGTAGGAGAGATCACACACATGTGTGGGGCACATGGACACACACAAACTGTGTTGTTGTTAGGGCACGAGAGTTGGTCCAGTTTATCCGGTGCTGCTACCCCACAGGAACCAGTATCACTACAGTAAACTACCACAGTAACATACTAATTGTAAATTACAATTATCATTCTATTGTAACATACCACAGTTAAAATACTAATGGTAAACATACCAAGTTAACATTACTTATTGTAACATGACACAGTTAACTTACTATTGTAAACATACACAGTTAACATAATAATGTAGCTCGCACTTACCATCTTTGGAGAAAAATAGATAATTATCATTATCAATATTTACCAGACACTGAGAACAAAAGTGTGAAACTCATAAATTAAATTATAAGAAACGTAAAATTTATTTAAAAAAAAAATGTAGATCATTTTGTTGTTTCCGAAAATTAAATGTCCAGCGCCATATAACGATAATGGACAAAACATTGCCCCCCCCCCTCGACATTTATTTCTTGTTCAAAAATAATTTACCCAGCGGATTTTGTCCATTATTTCAGAAATCCATTAAATCGAGATCATTTAAATTGCGGTTTTACTTTTAAATTTGAAACATAATTTGATTGTTTTAGTTTTTTATTATTTTGCACAAGCACAATGCTTCATAATAAACAGAACTAAATTTTGTGCAGTAACTAACCTCCATGAGATAACTATAATCTTCCGGGGGCAGTAAGTTAGGAACATCGCCAGTAAGTATTAAGGTGTTGAGCATGTGTAGGACAGTTGGGTGCTGAAGTACTGCGTCCCCCACCACAACAACTGTAGCCTTCTCGTCAACACCAGCTCTGATCAGTGCCTCTTTCAGTGCTCTCCGAACATCTGAATACCCTGTCAAAAATTAGGGTAAGTTAACATTGTGTATTTTGATGCGTTTCTATATAATAATTTTTGTTTACCAAGTTGGTCATCACCTACTGAGGAAGCTGTCTTACCACAAGTGTGCAGACATGACATTTCGAACAACCCTCCCCTCTACAACATCGCCACCCATCCTTCAGAGTGCAGGCACTTTCTTTCACACCTCCAAGACTCAAGTCCAGCTAACCAGTTTGCCTGACTCCCATCATGAAAATGACCTTGCTCAAACTTTAACACCACTCACTCTTGAAGCTGCTCGATGCTCAAGCTCCCAGTACTCAGAATTTTTGTTATCCTCTGGGCCCAGCCCTTCCAGAAATAACTATATCCCTCCTTCATTCCACCTTCTTGGTCACTCTTCTCTGTTTTATCTTATTTTTAAGTAATATTTTCAGTTTCCAAGTCTTGTATAGTTGTATTTTTCTGTGTGATTATGGAATACATACAAAAAATTACTTTTGGCCTAGTATATAACTTTAAATAACTGTAAAACAATGGTGAAAATGTTTGACAAATATATCCACAGAGGTAGATGAGTTTTAAGAATTACTTAAAAACATATTCTTCAGCTCTAGATCTTTCGCACTCTCGTGCTTCGTCAGGAGCTATGCAGTGTTGGAAGACAGCATAAGATAGGACGTGAAATTCTCTGAGTCAAAGCAGAAGATATCAATTACAGCCCATGACACTGTGTGTGGACCGTGACCGACCCAAACGCCTACCTCCCAGTCCCCTCACACCCTTCAGGTTAAAGGGAGGTCGGGGACCTCAGAAGTTTAGGGAAAGCAAGGTACAGAATTCAATGAAACTAGAATCCTTCAAGATATCCTCTTTAGTAAAGTCAAGTGGTTCAGATACGAAGACTATGCTCTGTGTCTGATCACGATATTGACAAGTTCCTTCCTAGAGTCAATGATTTAGTATCCTCAATTAAGTTAACAGAGCACGGAATACATAACAAACTGCCTTTTCTACATGTTCTAAAACACTGTGTTGACAAGAAAGTTAAATTTACAGTGTATACAGGAAGTCAACTAATATGTCGTCATATATTCACTATTATTACAATCATGAATCATAAGTTAAAATGAATGTTTTCCCTCACAGTTTCCTTGAGATATTTATGTATTTGTAGCCTGGAATATTTTGGTAATAAAATTAAAATGATATTTAATAATAGCCATTAAACTGAGATATCCTAGGGCTTTTGTGGAGAAGGCATTATTCTCAGCCAAGAAGACTTACTACAGGACTGAGCCTAAGGAAGTACCATCCAGGAAAAAAATATACTGGTTTTTGCCCTACAGTGAAAATATGGCCAGCATGAGTGATACATTAAAAAAAATTAATATAAATATTGCCTCCAACAACAGCTGGACAGAGAAGCAGAAGTTGATTAAGAATGCACCATCCAACATTGCTGGTGGTGTTTACAAGGTACCACACACACTATGCTCTCTTTCGTAAGTTGGGTAGACAGGTAAACCACTTGAAATCAGATTAACCCAACATCAGCACTCGATAAGGACGCTTCAGAAGTCAAATGCACTCTTAATCACATTAGTACAGGAGGGCCCCACTTATACGGCAGGTTAGGTTCCAGGCTACCGCCGTAATTTAAAGCGGAAAAAGCCGGTAAAGTGGAACACCCTTTTTTTCCACTTATACAAACACTAGATAACAAGTTTACACTAACATATATTAAGTTAGCAATAGAACCAGGCATCAAAAAACAATAAAAAAGTACAATACACACATAGTGCACTCATTACTTACCTTAAAATATTTATAGTCTTAATCTAGGGTGAGGAACAAGTAGTATTTATTGTAAGAAATCAAGTGTGGTATTGTATGGTAATAGCAGGCTACCTGACCAGGCCACCCCACCCTACCAATACTATCTATGATATTAGCATCCCAGAGCGTTTTAAAATGTATATACAGTTCGCCTCATTACTTACCTTAAAATTTATGTAGTCTTAATGTAGGGTCAGGAGTAAGTAATGAGATTAAACGATTAAATGAGAGAGAGGAAAGAAAATGAAGCTCTGAGTGAGGCAATGAGAAATAAGTAACACTGACTTTTGGGTTTTCCTAGGTTCCTCTACAGTATGGGTTATGTATGATAATCTATGGTAACAGTATTTTGTGTATTCCTGAATAAACTTACTTTACATACATCCGAAAGGAATAATTTTCTACAGTTACCCAGGTAAGACATTTTCTCTTATGTTAGATTAGAGAAAATGTTATTCTTGCCGTCAACTTGTTTATTTATTTATTTATTTATTATTTTCCAATTTGTGCACACATACGAGGTACAAAAAACAAAAATACAGATAAGAGCAGTATGCCAAGCCACTTATACTATGGAATAGCATACGGGCTGGTTTAAATTAATTAGATTAAACTAAGCAATGATTAATATTATTATTATAATCAAAAAGAAGCGCTAAGCCACAAGGGACTATACAGGCTGCTACAAGCAACTGATTGAATCAGGATAAAACATTAATGTAAACGATAAACTATTAAAGCACAAGTGAGTATTACAAAGGACAGGTCTATGGTTGCAATTTTTTTTTTCAGTTGGTATGATTCTGTTAGGTGTGTATTTAAAAAATAATAAAGTTAGATTGGGATTTTAGGTTTAACATTTATGGTGTTTATAATTGTGAGAAACTTTTAAGATATACAATTTATTACTGTTCAGTTATTCAGTATTTATTTGGTTTTGGCTGTTGGTTAGTAATCTTGAGAAGAGACGTGAATTTATAAAACAGGTTGTGTTTTCTTTTTATATTTACAGGTAATGAATTCCGATTTTTAGGGCCTTTTATGTGCATTGAGTTTTTGCATAGTGTGAGATGGACACGAGAGGAAACTCAAAGAGTGATCTGTGCCTTGTGTTAAGGTCATGTGTTTCTGTTGTGTTTGGCCAAGGAGATGTTTGAGGGAGGGTTAATATCGAGTTAAGTGTTCTATGTATGTAATAGGTGGCAGTAATAAGTATGGTGTTTTGTTAGGGTGAGTAGGTTTAGTGTATTGAATATTGGTGGAGTGTGCTGACTGTAGTGAGAATTTGTTATCATTCTAACTGCAGCCTTTTGTTGGGTTAATTAGTGGTCTGAGAATGGTTAATGTTGTTGAGCATGCACAAATTTTCCACTAGGTGAGATAGGGGTAAAAATAAGAGAGTGGGGTGATTTAGGGCCAGGAGGGCTGATGTGCAACATAGTACCGTTTATCTTCGATAGTATGCCTACAGTCTTGGAAATTTTCTTAGAAATTTGATGTATATTGTGTATGAAATTTGAGTCCTATTATCAATGTGCGACTCCTAAGAATTTTCCTCTGTTAGTTTTTGATAGGTGATCCAATTATCATTTTGTTAAGAGGGCATCTGTTGCTCTGTTACAACGAATGAAGTAGGTTTTGTCAATGTTAGTGTAGTTTGTTTGTCCTCATCCAGGTAGAATATTAATATTTTTTTTCCTTTTGTAAATCGGTATTTACAGTATTGGTAGCGTGACTGGGCTCGGGCGTGAGAGAAGACATATGTAGTGTCATCTGCAAATAGTGTGGGTTTGAGTAATTGCGAAGCATTTGGAAGGTCATTTATGTACAATTTATGTACATTTATTGTACAAGTTATGTGGCTCCCACATCTTATATTTATGTTTATTTATTCTATTGTGGGGTGTATTTTTCATTATCTTTTATTGTTTGTATCGTGTTTTTTATATAATTTTGAAAAAAAATATCATGGATGGATTAATGAAAATGTGTATATTAACGTAATATCGACATTTAATTGAGACTCGGTGAGTAGTGTTATTATTATTATCATTTTAATATGGCGTCACTTGTAAAGCAAGGTCAGTTGCTTCCACATCTCACAATTATGTTTATTTATTCTACTGTGGGGTGTATTTATATTATTTATATGTTATGCATCGTGTTTATTATATAATTTTGAAAAAAATATCATGGATGGATTAATGAAAATGTGTATATTAACGTAATATACGACATTTAAATGACTCGATGATTATTATTATCATTACTAATATGACGTCTGGAGACATAAGACACTAACCAATTTTAATGTGTACCTGCATGCCAGCACAGTAAGTTTATTTAGGTACAGGTATACATAAGTATAATTATCAGAGTTTACCTGGAGTTTACCTGGAGAGAGTTTCGGGGGTCAACGCCCCCGCGGCCCGGTCTGTGACCAGGCCTCCTGGTGGATCAGCCCCTGATCAACCAGGCTGTTGCTGCTGGCTGCACGCAAACCAACGTACGAGCCACAGCCCGGCTGATCAGGAACTGACTTTAGGTGCTTGTCCAGTGCCAGCTTGAAGACTGCCAGGGGTCTGTTGGTAAAATCCCCCTTTTGTGTGTGCTGGGAGGCAGTTGAACAGTCTCGGGCCATGACACTTATTGTAATGGTCTTTAACGTGCTAGTGACCACCCCTGCTTTCATTGAGGGGGGGATGGTGTGCATCGTCTGCCAAGTCTTTTGCTTTCGTACAGTGAGTGATTTTCGTGTGCAAGTTCGGTACTAGTCCCTTTAGGATTTTCGAGGTGTACATTCATCATGTATCTCTCCCTCCTGGTTCCAGGGAAGACAGGTTTAGAACCTCAAGCGTCCAGTAATTGAGGGTGTTTTATCTCCGTTATGCGCAACGTGAAAGTTCGTGTTACATTTTCTAGGTCAAGCAATTTCACCTGCCTTGGAAAGGTGCTGTTAGAGTGCAGCAATATTCACAGCCTTGATAGAACAAGTGACATGAAGGAGTGTCATCATGGGCTTTGGGCCTCCCTAGTTTTGGGAAGGTCATCTTATCATTCCTGTCATTTTTCTAGCAGATGCGATTTGATACAGTTATGGTCCTTGAAGGTGAGATCCTCGTCATAATCACTCCCAGGTCTTTGACGTTGGTGTTTCGCCTCTATTTTGTGGCCAGAATGTGTTTGTACTTGATGAAAGATTTATTTCCTAGTGATTTTACCATAATCTGGAAATTGAAATTTCTCATCGTTGAACTTCATATTGTCTTCTGCAGCCCACTGAAAGATGTGGTTGATGTCCGCTGGAGCCTTGCTGATGTCTGCAATGTGAAGACACTGTAATGCAGATTGGGTGTCATCTTGCAGGAAAAGATAGAACGGTGTGTGGCTGACATCCTTGTCTTTATGTCGGATATGAGGAGAGGAAAAGATGGAGCTAGTACTGTGCCTTGTGGGAAAACAGTCTTTTCACGTAGGCCTCGGACTTTACTTCTGCTTGACGGATACTCTCTGTGTTCTGTTAGTGAGGAATTATAGATCCATCGAATCCCGACTTTTCCTGTTAATTCCTTTAGCAAGCCATTTTGTGAGCCTATACGCCATGGTCACACTTGTCGAAAGGCTTTTGCAAAGTCTGTATATATTTACATTCTGCATTCTTTTTGTCTTCTAGTGCATTTAGAACCTTGTCGTTAGGTTGATCAATAGTTGAGTACAGACAGGAGCGACCTGTTCTAAACCCATGTTGCCCTGGGTTGTGTAATGATGGCGTTTCTAGTGGGTGGTGATCTTGCTTCTTAGGACCTTTCAAAGATTTTTATGAATGGGATGTTAGGGCTATTGGTTCTGTAGTTCTTTGCTATTGATTTACTGCCCCTTTGTGGACGTGGGGCTATGTCTGTTGTTTTTGTAACTGAGGACGGTCCCCCGTGTCCATGCTCCCTCTCCATAGGATGGAAAAGGGCTCGTGATAGGGGCTTCTTGCAGTTCTTGATGAAACAGAGTTTCCATGAGTCTGGCCCTGGGGCAGAGTTGCATGGGGCTTGTCATTTATCGCCTGTTCGAAGTTCATTTTGGCGTTCAGGATAATCATCGGATAGGTTTTT